CCCCCCCCCCCCCCCCCCCCTCCCCCCCCTCTTTCTCGGGGCCGCTCCGAGCGCTATTTTCGTGCGCTGTTACATTTTTATTTAATATTCCTTGCTTCCGCCCTCCCCTCTTTCTCGGGGTTTTCCGGTGCAAATCGTGCTTCGAGCTCTGTGTTCCATGCTCCGCTCCGCGCGCCACGTTCATGCCCTATGTTTTCCATTCTGTTTCTCTCTTGTTTCGCTCGCCTCCTTTCTCTCGGGGTTTTTCTGGCGCGGACCGCGGTTCTGGCTCTATGTTCCACCCTCCGAGCGCTGTTTCATGCGCTCTTTTCATTTCTTTCTTGCATTTATCCTTCTTGCCTGCTTTCCTCTAGGGGTTTTTCCCGGCGCACTTGTGATTTTCTTGTTCTATGCTCCCAGATCCGCGCATCACTCCTTTCTCTCGGCGTTTTTCGTTGCTCTTTGTGCTCCGGAATGGCGTGCTCAAGCTCGTTCGCCGTTACGCCTAATCGGCTAGTTATCTATTTCCTTCGCTCTACGCTCGTTCTTGCTTTCTCTTCCTTTCTCTGTTCCTTTCGGTTTGTTCTCTCTCGAAGTTCAAAGCAGCCTGGGACACGCTGCTTGGAAAAACCACCACTCTCCGGGAGGTCCCGAAGTTGCCGGAGAATCAGCAGTATGCGGTCCTAGCCGAGATGCACTCTCTGATCGGGGAGCTGTCGCAGTTGACGGCGCTTGATCCCGCCCTCGCAGCGGAGCGGAGGGTCGTGTTAGATATGACCACCGCGCTCGATCACTGCGTGCATATCATGCAACCTGACACGGGCGCTATGTGGCTTCACGAGGAGCTCCTGAGCCCCTCGGAGGAGGAGGAGCACACAGACCGGGAACAAATCGTTGAGCAGTTGACGACGTTATCGAAGCTGGTGCACCCAGGGGCGGGTGGGGGGCTCGCTGCGACTGCGACCCCCCACCCGCCCCTTGGGGTGCACCAGCTTCGACAACGTCGTCAACTGCTCAACGATTTGTTCCCGGTCTGTGTGCTCCTCCTCCTCCGAGGGGCTCAGTCGAGGCAGCGAGCCTCCCACCCGCCTCTGGGTGCACCAGCTTCGATAACGTCGTCAACTGCTTAACGATTTGTTCCCGGTCTGTCTGCTCCCCCTCCTCCGAGGGGCTCAGGAGCTCCTCGTGAAGCCACATAGCGCCCGTGTCAGGTTGCATGATATGCACGCAGTGATCGAGCGCGGTGGTCATATCTAACACGACCCTCCGCTCCGCTGCGAGGGCGGGAGGGCGGGATCCAGCGCCGTCAACCGCGATAGTTCCCCGATCAGAGAGCGCATCTCGGCAAGGACTGCGTACTGCTGATTCTCCGGCATCTTCGGGACCTCCCGGTGAATGGTATCTACCATCATGCAGAGGGCGTATTGGAAGAACCCCAGGACCGCAGGCGGTATATGCGATATGCAGGTTGCCGTGAGCTTCATGAGTTCCCATTGAGCGGACAGACGCGGGCCTACGCGGCTTATAGGGGGCGTCCTCTGCTCTGATGAAAGGTAAGAATTGCTTATGATTATTTATTGTACGATGAATATGGATGCATGGGGTTGCAGCACATATGCACCTCCTGAGTATGGGATATTTCACGAAACCTTGGAGTTGCCTGAGGCAAGGTTTCGAAGTAAGGAAGGAGTGGAGTGTGTGGAGACACCAGCCGTGGGAGGTTATGCCACTGTTTGATCCCATACTATCTGAGGAGAAGGACTGACTCGAAAATAATGGTGTATTATCAAGAACCAAGATGGACAAAGATGCAGTCCTTTCCAGATGTGCGCACACAATGGAGCCAATATTATGAGAGGACGAGATCAGCTCTCACTCTCAATTTGGCACCCTGCTTCGACAGGAAAACAGAACGAGAACAGGGAGCTCTGTTTGAGACACCACCCACCCACCCAGACATTTTCAGTCTAGTTATTCTCCAAATGTCGGAATAGGTTTGTGGAAAATGAGGGAACACTTGTGGAGGAAACAACACCCTCATTTTTCCCTTCCTATTCACGACGGAGTGGACACACCAACCGTTGTGGGAGGTGATGCCACTGTTTGATCCCGTACTATCTCAGGAAAAGAACTGGCTCGAAGATGCTGATGGGTAATTGGGGAAAACATTTGTCGATGGGGTATGTATACCACCGTGTACCCCATTTACCCCAACATCTTCTACTGCCCTCCACCCCTGCCCTCCAGTGCCTGTCTTGGATTGTTAAACGTGCCCCAGTATGCCTAAAAACGCTGTCACCACCACTTGCACCCATCATCCCACACAAGTACGCCACATCTCATGTATTTTGAACCAAAAACGGACACCCTCTCTACCACCACAAATCGTCATCCCACCACATTTCACCTCCATGTTTTGTGTGAAGATCTGAACCATCTCGTCCTGATCGAGCCCGTCTGGGTCCTCCCGAAGCTTGGAGAGGTCGGACTGCCCGACGCGGTCGTAGAATACCGGCCGCCCCGCGCGGTCCTGCTTGTGGAAACCCGTAGGCCAGTGCGTGCGGTACTTTTTCATCTTGGCTGGGGACACTGCACGCTTGAAGAGGTCGTCCGCCTGGTTGTCACATTCAGCGGTAGAGGGGCACGCAATATGCGATACATCAGGGTGGGGGTGGGGATAGAAAATAGGGAGGGGCGGGGCGTTGTCAGGTGTCTTGGCCAAAGATACACAAGGCCGCAGTATCTCTGCTTCGGTCTTGATCCGGAAAAAGCGGCGTCGTAGAGGAACGCAACAGATCTACTCATTGTTGAAAAATCGTGCTTATTGCCATACCCGAATTTCACCATGTATTGCCCGATCTAAAAGTCGGTGCATGCGCATGTGTGCATGCACCTCTGGGACCTGCAATGTTACCGCGGTTGTCACGTTACCCCCCAAGATCTCAGCCTGTCAACTCTACTGCTGTTTTCGGAGCGTGTGATGGTCTAGAAAGCACAAGAGCACGACCGTACAACCAAAAAGGTAATCAAGATAGCCGAAGGTCCTGTTAGACGCGAGGGTTCTCTGTATTGCGGTAGCGGGGATATAATGTGCGGGAACTGTTTGCAGAACTGGTGAAGCGGCTTGGCACGAACCGCCGACAACGTACCACACACCCCTCGATTCCCAACGGTGCGAACGCCAGCGCTTTAAACAGGATCTTCGACCGCAACGGATGGCTGCTCTACTGTAATACCTCGTTCTCCTTCCTCCAGGCGCAGCACCGGCGCATGGATTCCTTGGCCTTACGGACGTCGAACTTCGAATGCCGCAGGAAGGCCAACACCACGCCGTCCCGGTCGCCACAGATGGCTACCGTGTTCAGCGCCTCCACTTCCTCCTCGGAGAGACCCGCTCCTTCCTTACCTGGGACAGGGTGGCGGGGTGGAACATCGAAACAAATGTGCTTCAGTCCATGTCATCGGTATTTGAAAGAAAAAACATCTCCCTAGGCTGTAATGGCGACCCGAACACTACGCGCACTCGATCAAGACGGTCTAGTGCTTTGCCTGCAACATGTCCAAAGTGTTAGCGCTGTCGGTGAATCCTACGAGCAAACGAGCTTGAAGAACGAACACAGCTAGACCAATTGCTTGGCGGCTGGTTCCCTCTGACTCAAAATATAACTCGTTGACCGACCAATAACACTGCTGTCCACTGAAGCCCTGAACTCACTGTGGAAGGCATTCCAAAATACAACACAATAATCCCGAGAAACTACCCAACCCGCAGTCACACAAACCCTGCCTGTGACGCGGAATGCTTGAACATCCATGAGCACCGAAGAGCGTTTCACGCGTGTTCCATGCAGTTTACAGGACAAGGGACTTCGGACACAAAAATTCAGTCTCGGTACTTGGCTGTCTTAATCTGTCTCTGGCGTCTCGAGGGGAAGGCATTCGACATGGTTGCCGTGGGGTGCCTGTGTTGAGGATGCGACGGTGATGAGCCGGAGAGGTGCCGCTGCTCACGATGCGCACAAACTTTCAAAAAGAGATTCGCAATGTTCACCCGGAGAAAATACGTTTACGTCCCACGGAGAAAAGATATTAATGTGAGACTCCATCTGAAAAAACTATTCTTCCCATGGGTCACCACCGATAGGTGTTTCCTCCCTTCCCTCCGAGGAAAACGCTTACAAGCCGCCACAACAGCAAACAGCACCTGTCGTACGTTCCCCCGTGTTTGCCCATCTGCCACATAGATTCAACGACACGGCTATATTATTGGTAGATACCAGTTTCGTTCCCAAATAGCAAGAGGCATCCCATGTACCCCCCCCTCCCCCCGGTGTTTGCCATCGGGGTTGGGTTTTCGTCGCTTGGCAACGACGTTGTACAACAAGCCGATCACTCCGTGAGCTCGGCAACCAGGGTTACCGCGTTTCTGTTGCCTTTGCTATTTTTTGCGGTAACCATAATGGTGGTCGAGTAGATCATGTTGTGCGGGGTCGAGAACCCTCCCTCCGTGCAAAGGGGGTGATCGCACCACTTTGTGTGGAATTGGTCAAGCACCCTCGAGGCAGCTACGCAGTCCTTTTAATACTGTCTGTGGAAGTTCAAGCACCAGAAAAAAAATTCAGTCACCTCACGGCGCTTCGCGCTTGGTGATGGGAGAGCCTACTCCGATGAGAACCCCGTGTGCTCCGTCGCGGCTTTGAAGGGATGCAAGGTCAATGGTCTAACGACTAAGGCCTGCACGACTATGAGTACACCCACCACCCCCCTAACCTGCGGGAGAGCACACCGTTGTCCTTGTGCCTCACCTTCGTTCGCCCCCCCGAAAGCGAACGCCTTAACGTCCTCGAAGCACTCCCGCTGTGTGGGCGGCAGGGCTTCCACCGCCCGGGCGGCGGCCACCTGCACCTTTCGGTCCTGGGCGGAGCGCAGGCCGAGAATCTCCCGAATGGCCGCCGCTTCCAGCTCCTCCTCCATTGCCTCGTCTCTTTGAGCCCGTTCGTTAATCCCTTCTTCCTCCTCCTCCTCCTTGGAAACCTTCACCTGGTCTCCGTCCGCGCCGGCCGCTGCGGCTGCTGCCGCCGCTGCTTCCGCCGCTGTAGCCTCGGCTTCGCCAAGGCCTGTGCTGCTGGTCTCCACTCCTTCCTTCGACACTCCTACGGGTTCTTCTTCGGCGGGGGTGGTACCTGAAGCACCCAGTATTCCGGCAGCCGCGGCCGTACCAACGATCCCGCGGCCACCGGTGGTAGCTGTGCTACGCCCGCTCTGGGCACCAGAGCTTACGTTCTGGTTTTCTTTTGCTTCGTGCACCTGTTCCTTAGAGAACCGTGCCGAAACATCAGCGTCCGAAGTCGCTTGCCGAGAAGTGATCCCCCCAATACCGGCACCGGCACCGGCGGTGGTGGCGGCGGCAGCGGCGGAGGTTCTTGGCGTCGAAAGCTTGACCCGGCGGTCTGTCGGGTCTTCTCGCTGCTCAAGAGAGCCGTGTTGCTCTCGCGCGGCAATGACGCTGTCGCAAGCGGCAGCATCTTCCGCGTGCTTAGACCCCCCTTCTAGCTCGTCGACTACTGTTGGTGCGGGCTGCCCTTCAGCAGGCCCGGCGGGCTCTTCGTTGCCGTTGTCGGCTGGGGAGCCCCAAGAAGGATGAGTTGCCACGGTCGTCTCATCTGCTGCGGCCTCATACTCCGCGCCATCATGCGCCACCTCCCCATCCGTATCCCTCCTCACGCCCAGCTGGTCGGGGCTAGGCGAGGCAATCAGCCCTGGTGGTAGCTGCTGCTGGTGTTGCCGTTGCTGATCCTCTTGCTGCTGCTGCTGCTGCTGCTCTTCTAGTCTCGCCCGCAGCGACTTTATGGTGCGTCCCAGGTGCATGGTCGACATGTAGGCCTCGGCCACCGGAGCCAGCAGCAGCGCCGCCACGATAGAAGAGAGGAGACATCGGTGCCGCCAGCCCCGCTTGGTAGCGTCACACAACATGTCGCAGTGTAATGTATGTGTCTCGTGTGTGATCGTGGAGATGTCTTGGTGTGGGGGAGACCAATAGCAAGGCCAATCGCTTTCGAACTCCTGGGCTGATAAATAACAGTCCCGTGGGTTCTCACTATCTCGCCGTCTTGTTTCAACCACCCGACCGCAGCAAGCACTAAAACAACAAACTCCTCTCTCATGGCGAAAGACAAGGGCGCCGTGCCGCCGGGGTCTGCAAGAGGAGGCAGCCGTGCCGCCAAAAAGCGTCGCAAGCAGAAAGGCAAGGCGAGCGCCTCGGGCGGCAGCACCCAGCCGAAAGCATCATCACCATCCGGCAGCAATCTGGTGCCACCGTCCAAACCAGGGAGCAGCAGGGATGATAACCGACTTGCTGCTGCGGCTGGGAGCGCCAAGCGCAAGCGCGAGTCGATCACCGCTGCTGCGTCTAATTCAGCAGGGCAACCGCCTGTAGTATCGGGCAACGGGGCTGCCACCGGAGGTGGAAGCAGCAACGGAGACGGTGTCGGGGCCGGCAGCGGCGGCGGCAGCAGCAGGCGCTCTGGCCACCAGCAGCCAGCGCCTACAACAATCGATGCGTCCGCGGCCGACGATCGGTCTCGTCTCTTGCTGGAGCTCGACGTTCAAGGAGTACTTTCGGACCCGGATGTCGAGGTGAACAACACGCTCTCGCACGAAATAATGCCTGGCGCAGAAAACTCCTACCTCTCGTTGCCGCTGGAATAGCTGTACAAGCACATTACGGCGGCGAAAACTTGGTGCCTTGTTGCCGAGGTTGTGTTCATAACCAAAGTCTTGATATCCTGCCGGCGCGGTTGGACAAGAATGGGGCCTGCGCATGCATCCGTGCCAAATCACCAGCAGCAACGCCCAAAGCGACGTGACAACTGCACGTCGCCATGCATATTGTTGTGATCGATTTTGGACCGTATATTACAGTATACACCGACTTGCTTGCACTCACCACTTCAACGGCTTTTCGAGTTGTAGTTGGAGGTAGACAAAAAACCAAAACAACTAACATTAGCAGGTTTCCAGCCCTCATGCTACACCTCGGCGCAAGGCCTCACCACTGCAGGCCTACAACCTATCCCTGAAACCGACCCCGGCCCCGAACCCTTACTCTAACCCGAACTATAAGAGCGGCTTGAAAGCTCGGCAGCTGTTGCAGTGGATCATCGCTCCGCTGTCGGTGGAGGAGTTCTACGGCACGTACTGGTGAGCCACACTGGGAATTGTGAGGGGGGACAAATAAGTCGCTTGTCGTCAAGCCTTGATTTGGAAGAACGCGTGCCTCAGATTGTTTGTACGGCAACAAGTAAATCCCATCCATCAGCCATGCACAACAGAAAGGCGGCTGTATTTTCTCCCGTCTAAAGCAGTGTAGTTTCAATTTTTGACCTCCAATCTACCTCTGTTTGTTTCCCCCCAAGAAAGCAGGGTAGTTTCATTTTTATACCTGCAGTCTACTGCTCGGTTGCGTATTTGGCGGTTGTTGCGGACTTCAAGGTGGCTAACCTCTTCATACTCGTGTCGTTGTATCGCTCACCAACAGACTCGTTACCCAGTACAGCTACAGCACCTTGAAGGTGTAATTGCCAAACAGCTTGGACATGACTGAAACATCAGGGTGTAGGCTCAAATATGCCCAGTATCCAGCAGGTTTCTCCCCCTCTCACTCCAAAGTACACCCCCCCTTCGACTGCTGTGGCTTTGTCTCGAACGGGTGGTCTTTGGCTTTCAGTGCTCGCACGTGTACTTTCTACTAAAACCACATTTCCTTAAAATATATATTTAATAATAAGGGAGCGGAATCCTTTCGTCGTGCGCGGGCGGCGGGCGGACTACTTCTCCGGCTGGCTGGAAACCTCCGACTTGGAAGCATTCATCTCAGGGCAGTCCATGCAGTATGGCACCGACCTCGACGTCACCAACTACGTCAACAAGCGCCGCGTCACCCTCAACCCTGCCGCACCAGCACCATCTCCGGAGCAATCGTCATCGCCGCCGCCGAAAAAGGGCGGCCACAAGGGCAAGGGTAAGGGCGGTGCTTCCACCGGCGGCAACGGCGCGAGTGGCGATGCCCATCTTGCCGCAATAGAGGGGGCAGGGGGCGCCGTGGTTACCCCCAACTTCGTGTGGCAGAAGTTCAGGGAGGGGTGCTCGTTGCGGATGCCGTGCCCCCAGAAGTTCAGCGACCCCTTGCACCTGCTGCTGTCAGCGCTGGAGGAGGAGTTTGGGTGCATGGTTGGTTCTAACGTCTACCTCACTCCTCCGAGGAGCCAGGGGTTCGCGCCCCACTGGGACGACATAGAGGCCTTCTTGCTGCAGGTGGGGTTGGGGGGGACCTTTGCCTCTTCATTTTTTTCAAAGAAAATTCGACGCTGGGCAACGATAAACGATTGGCTGATGGAGGACGGAGTCACCGTTGCTCCCCTCAAGGAAAGATTGGCCATCGGTGATTCGGTCGGTCCTGTGGGAACAATGCTCCGCCCTCTCTCTGGATGACGCGTGGTCAATGACCTAACCGCTAAGGCATGCAAAAGATGCGTACCCCGTGACCTTTGTGTCTGGTTACACGCGGCAGGTGGAAGGCCGGAAGCGTTGGAGGGTGTACCCCCCCGCGGATGACCAGGCCGTTCTTCCCAGGCTGTCGTCGCCCAACCTGACGGACGAACAGGTGCGAAAAAAGCGCTTGGAGAAAGATGGCTGTTAAGTATTTTCTTCCTTCCGTGTACAGTCGTGTTCATCAGGAGGATTGTCACCCGTTGTTGGCTGCGACGCATGCTCAGGGTGCACGCAGGTACAGTATCTCCAGCCATCTGTAATGTTCTACCACCACCATCTGTATCGTGCGAACATGTCTTGTCACGAAATACCGCGACTCCAAGTAACTCGCCAGGGGTACAATAGTTTGCCTACAAAGTGCTTCCCATGTTTACGTGCTCAGCAATATCGTCAGTATTTTCCTTGATGCGTGGCTCCAAGAATGTCGGGTGCTCGTCACTGCAATACTCGTCTCGCCCTTCTTCGGTGGTATCGCTGATCCCAAACCTGCACAGGTGGGAGAACCGGCACTGGAGGTAGTGCTGGAGCCCGGCGACTTGCTCTACTTCCCGAGGTGCGACTCAATGTCTCAGGTGGGGGGGGGGTGCTAGTTTTTTCAGCCCGAGGGGGGGGAAGTCAGGACTTTATGGAATAGAGGGAGGTGTATAGCAGTTCATGGGTACTAGGCTTCACCCGAATTTGTTTTTTCATCTCGTGGCAATTGACGCCATGTTCGTATTTTTTCGTGATTGCAGTCTTGCCGTTATATTTTTCCGGCGCTCGTTCCTGTCCTATTGCGCCATGGGAGGGGACACCTCCGAGTGCCTTTCTACCCTGCATTTCCGTCCTGTTCCCTTTGCAAACTGAAGGGCCCCTTACCAGATGTTACGGACGGCTACCCGTTTGGTGCTTGCGCTCGCTTTTGAATACATGAAGCGATCGGAAGTGCCATCGGGCTTGCTAGCGACCAAGCGTTCTTTCTCTGTGCGCGAGAACCAACCGCCCTGTCGACCCCGTTTGTCCCGCGTGTGGTGAACGAACGATTGCCTACATTCTTTTGTGATGTATTCAGTCTTGGTGGTTCGAGAATACGTTTTGGCCTTTTTTTTTTTGTCGGAGCGTTTACATGTTGTGCTCCCAACCGCCATCAGCCTCCTCTGATGCCCCTCCCCCGAAATGCACCGAGGAAGAGCAAACCCTTGTGTTGTATGCGCGGACGCGAAGCACCCTACACCCTCATCGTTGACCTTCTTTACTGCAGGGGGTGGGCGCATCAGGCGGAGACCGTGGGAGACGAGGCTTCGCTTCACATCACCGTGTCCGCCATGCAGGGGAACTGGTGAGGGAGGCGCGTCGCCCCAAGGCTGGGGGCAGTGTGTGCGTGCGGGCTCTTTCAGTTAGCGTTGAATCGCGCTCGTGTTTTGTTTTTGTTTTCATGCCGTTGTTCTTCGTGGGGCGTGAACATGACGTTAATCCTGGTATTTGCGTTGGTCAAACGTAGCCGTCATACAGCACAAGACCCCCCGGTGATAAAAAAACGTTGTTGGCAAGCCTCTTGTGGTTTGATATTTTTGGGTGTTTGTATCAGTGCACCCTCGTCTTTCTCTTCTGATTCTAACGCCGTTTGTCTTTTCTTGCTTGGCTCGCGCTCACATTTCGTTTCGACTAAGGTTGCACCCCATCTACTTCTTTTTTGTCTGCTTTTTGTTGCTAGCCTTGCTTGCTCCCGCTTGTTGCTTCATGTTTGGCTAGTACTTTTTCACTTTTGGCCAAGCTTCCCCTGTGTTCATTCTGCACGTATTTAGCTTGCTGTCTCGTGTCCGTGTATGCGCCTCCCGCAGCTGGGCGGATTTGGTTGAAGGACTGGTGCCTCAGGCCGTCGCCAGCGCTGTCCAGGCAAACCAAGAGCTGCGGTCCGGTCTCCCTCGGGATTACTTGGAATACATGGGCGTCGTTCACAGTGATGAGGTGAGGTCTCGCATGTCTGTGTTCTGGAAATACAAGGGCGTTGTTGGCAGCGATATATCATATGTAGATTTGCGAAGTCTTGGAATGCATGGGCATTGTTCACAGTGATGAGGTGAGGTATCGCATGTCTGCGTCCTTGGAATACATGAGCGTTATTGACAGTGAGATATTGTGTGTAGATGAGCGAAGTCTTGGAATGCATGGGCGTCGTTCACAGCAATGAGATAAGATATCACATGTAGATGGACTAAATGCAGTTTTTGTTCTTGGCATACATGAGCGATGTTCACAGCAGTGAGATAAGATATCATATTTCGATTAGCTAAATCTTTGTTTTTGGAATGCATGAGCGTTGTTCACAGTGATGCGGTGAGGTATCACATTGACGAGCTCAGACAGTAGCTCGCGGGGACCCCGAGGGTTCGATCTGAGAAACCGGCACCCAATTATGTAAGAACCACATCATCATCATTTTTTGCCCTTTCAGGAGGACAAACGCAGAGACATGTTCAAGGCCAAGATGAGGAAAAAGCTGGGGCTCATCGTCGAGGAGGCTATCGAGCTCTTGGACGCTGCGGCGGACCAAATGGGCAAGAGGTACGTATTAGCATCAGAGACGAGATTTCGTTCGTCGATTCATTCTGTGTGTATGTTGCGTGCCGCGTCTTGCCTCTTTGGTGTCTGCGAGCTGCTGATTGTTGGATCGCACGGAAACCCTTCCGAGCGGTTGGACTCACCGAAAGTTTTTCGTTAGTTCTACGTTCGGTGCGTTTGTTTGCCTGTAGCATGCCCTGTATTATCCGCTTCGAACGATAAATATCGAATATTTCGACCCGACATTCAGCACTATTTAGTGCCCACTCCGCCTCGTTGGGATCTATCTCTGCGTGCTGCTGATTGTTTGGCGAGTGGTGGGACTCACCCACGAATGTTTCCCTGGTGTTGGTTGTACCCCTTGGGGGTCGGTTGGCTTGTGACCTCTCGAACCTGTTTGTGTGCCATCGAAGAGCTGGGGAGATAATATGATGCGCGAGGGTCAGACACTGACGTATTGACACTCTTTGGCGGCTGGTTTGTGACCTCTCAAACTCATTTTGTGTGCCGTTGAAAAGTGGGGGAGATGATGTGATGCGCAAGGGTCAGACACTATATATATATATATATATATCGTGTACCACTAATTCAACATTCACCTCCAACACCGCCAAAAGCGTCTCGTTGCGTTGGGTAATATCAACCTGCACCAGTGATGGACATCGCGTATCGATTTGCCCGCATTCGATGTCGATATTTCAGCGATACTCAACATCGACATCGCTGAATTATTTTGCCGATATGTCGATACAGTATCGGCATCGAACATCGAGTATCGACGATACACGATAAGATATTTTCATACACCGGCTCCCCCAAGAATATGACGCCACCACCTTTTGAATTGGTAACACCAACTACAACACACAGCAGCACACGCAACACACAGCACAAAGCGAACAGCACACCGTCACACCCTCTACGCTCGGTCCCGCACACTGCAAACCACTACATGAGCCTTTCAGCTTTCGGCTTCACCCCCCATGAGGGCACCTTGTTTTTATTTCTGAATGTATGTTGTTGTGCACATGTGGGTCGGTCAGTGCAGCAGGTACCAGGACAAGATTGGAACAGTAAAGCTACGGGTTAGTCTCGGTTGGCGAAAAGTTCCATCTACCATTGTATGTACTTCTACATCATTAAAAATAGTCTATGTGCCTTTTGTTATGTCCTTCCAAGTCGCCTTTCTCTCCCGGAGCTTCGCACACCTTCCAAACGCCGTGCACCTTCTGGGCCTAATATTTGCAATGCAAGATCCACATACATGTATGTCCACGACATACGTGTGCTACGTCGGCTACATTATTACACTCCACGTCTCAGCGGTGTACAGTATCATCCATCGTATCATGGCGCCTGCTGTGGAAGTGAGACCATAGAATCAATCTTGATCTTGGACAGACAGGAAAACAAGGTTTTGTTGTATCCGCTTGAGATTTTCTGGGCAATATCGTTCCGAAACATCGATAATCGGAACATCGGCCACTCTGACGAATATCGGAAAAACATCGATAATCGTCAATTTTTTACCAGTATTTTCGAACATCGTATCGGCACCCATTTTGCGAGCGATGTCCATCACTGACCTGCAGCTCCCCCCCCCCCGGCGCGCGCCCAGAAAATCACACTCCTGACACGTTCCTTACTAATCTATTCCCCCAATAATCAAGTATACCATTTTTTTCAGACCACGTGCAAGTAATACTCTGTTATTTGCCCTCCATCCTCCCCCGAAACAATAAACAGGTACATTTCGGACCGCCTGCCCCCGGTGTTGAAAGAGAGCGAGGAGCTTTCGTCAGTGGTAGAGAGAGGGGACGGGGCTATCACTCCCCTCACCAAGGTTAGGTGGTCAGGTTTAAAGTTTCGGTGCTGACCTCTGCCTGACAGATACCTACTGCTGAGGGACGGTGTTCCATATCCCTGTTAATATGGAATGGTTTGTTCGGAATGCTTAGCGTGGAAGACGGTGCTCGCTACGGTGTCCATCAGGTCGGCGTTCCCGTCGTGAACTCACCGTTCGTCGGTGCTGCTTTGACCGCGGTGGTTGCTTCACTTTCCTTTTTTTTTTTCTGCCTGTCCCATTTTCTGATGCAGGTCGTGTTTCTTGCTGAAGTGGCACCTGTTCACAGTTACTGCTTGGTTTTTGGGTTTTGTCTGCTGTTGTGCCACTTTGTATTGTTTGTTTTCTCTCACCACCTTTTGCTCAAAAGTGCTGGTCGTGTCGCTGTTTCAGACGTGGTGATTCTGTTTCTGCTTGCCGGTTTGCCTTCATTACTTGATCAGTTAAGATCTTCTGTTTTTTTACTGATTTTGCGTGTGTCGTTTCTTTGTATGGGCTTCGTTGCTGCTCCGTCTGCTTGATTTCCCGCATGTGCTTGATGTGTGCTTAGCTTCTTGGTTTCTACGTTTGTTTCGCATGTTGTTTTTTCAGCTTCGCCTGGCGAGGAGAGGGTGCGCAAGGCTGGTGCTCGAAGACGGCGTTGCGGTAGTTTACCACTGCATGGACAACTCGAGGGTGCATCACGGCAACGCCATGAGGTGAAGAACCTCTTCCAGAACCCGCACTGACCCCCAAGGGATGGGCTTGATCCTCGTTGTTTGTTCGTTGCATTGTGGCTTGAAACGTTTTCCGCCGCTGGCATTCGTCTTCTACCTGCCTCATCACCAATCAACAACCTAACCGCCAAGATAGCCCGCCTGACTGCCGAAGCCCCGACTTGTCCAGCCGGGCACTTCAAGGACACGCGGGGTCTCTGTTGATGATGACCGATCTACATGCGGCTAACCGTTGGTCACAACAAGTACGCTCCCTCTCACCAACTCCTGAACCCCCCCGCCAATTTGTAGATCCCATCAGACAGTCCCCCGCTCGTGATATCCTCTCCCTTGTAGTCTTCTGGGCGGCAGGCTCTCAACCCGAGCTATGCATCACGTGATACCCGTCGGTCCTGCCCTAAACCTGCTTCGCGCCCGTTCCCCACCCCCGCACACGCCACCGTAAAAACGATGTAGTCCTCTGCAGTTCGAGCTGGATGACGCGCCGGCGCTGGAGGTGCTGTTGTCGGCGTACCCTCGCCCCGTGATGGTGTCGGAACTGCCGCACCCCCCCACCGAGGACCTCGAGGACAAGGTAATTTTTTGAGGATATGTCTTCATACAATCTCTAAGAAAGACTACCCTTTCTAAGATGTAACCACGGTCGAAGGGGATGCGATTTGTGGCTTGTGATAAGCAGTGGTGCATGGTGGATCTTGCGACAAACGGTTCGGGCACCTGCTGCACCGGTATCCTTGACGGATCGACGGCTGACGCGTATGGTCAACACCTAACGCTTAACGCTGATGTCTAGTGCAAATTGTACGTCCCGACACCCCAAAAATGCATGGGAAAATCCTACGAGTACATGCCAGTCTTTATCTGGTATGTTTTGGGGTGTCACCATCGTGAAAACCCCTCCATTATGCTATGTGCGTGTGCGGCATGCTGTCTCGAAGCCAATACTATGTAGTTGTCTGCCGTAGACCTCCGCTCGGCACGGTGCGCGAAAAAGTAAGCAGACAGGAAGGGGTTTCGATTGCGGCGGGAGGGGGATGGTTTCGTTTACAGGTGGATTCCTTGCGACAAGGTGCTGTTGTGTTTCAGCGTACACCATGTGCGTATCCTTTTTGTGTTTCCTCGAGCCTCTTCGTGCAAAAGCGTAATGCACGATGTCCGTCTCGCAAAGTGAGGTCATTGCTTGTTACCATCGCGGTCACCATGGTCGTGTTTTGACGTTCTGGCCTCTGCGAACAAGCAGGATGCCGTCGTCGTGGTACAGAAGAGGGGGCTGCCCTGGCGATTTTGCCGCAGTCACCGCATCCTGCGACGAACCCCACTACATTGTGGAGTCGATGCCATGACATTTGCAGTAAAGCCCTAGTCGGCAGACTGAGATAGAGGGGAAGGAATCGACGGTGTACAAGTACGACAGAGTGCCATATCTTCCACCGTAAGACAAACGCGAAGGAGAGTTAAGAGAGTATAACGGTTTTACTGCGAGCAAAACTGATGAACGCGCCACGCAGAGATAATGTGTTTTCTCCGAACCTAACCCCATGCTTGTGCCACCTCCGGTTTCAGCCAATTGGTTACATGACGTTGGATTCAGAACCTCTAGTGGTGTTTCGAGCATTCATCGATCCCCGCCCCTTGCGGTTTGTTTCCCACCCCGCGATGTAGGATGCACGCTGCACGTATCTCCGGATGCTGGGGCTCCCGTCGTTGCTCGGCAATGCCCGTCGTCGCATTGACTGCACTACGTGTAGAATGAAGTACGCGACAATTGCTGCTGCCGGTGTGGACGCTGCTTACCACCGTTCTTGATGTTGTTGTTTCAGGTGGGCATTGCCGCTGCGCTGTTCAAGGAGGGCTTCATGCTGATCGTGGACGACGTCGAGGCCGACGAAGACGACGATGATGCCGATGGTGGTGATGGTGGTGGTGAATCCTCCTCGGATAAGCAGGGGACAGGGAATGGCGCGGGGTCGTTGCAGCAGATGGAGGAAGAGGAGGAGAAGGAAGAAGAGGATGGAGACGGAGACGGCTTGTGATCTGGCCAGCGAATCGCTGTGGAGTAGGGTTGGGAATCGAAGAGAGCGGATGTCAAGCAGGAGAAGAGAAAAAAGGGGGTGGGTATGTTTATACCCAAAGTGTTTTGGCAATTGTACCCGCCTCGTTCAATTGTTTGCTTGCAGGATACGCGATAAGTATTGAGTACACGCAACATCTCGGAAGGCAGCGATTTAGCACAAGCAAATGGTTCGGTGCGGAGAGAGCGTGTACGACGCTCTCGATTCGGGTTTTGACAGCCCCAAACGAAACCCAATACGTTATTGTCCAAAAGGCGAAACGAACGAATTGCGGGCCGGCGCTAGGACAAAAAAGCAGGTCGACAGATGGCGGCGGCGTGTGTACATACTTCTATTTGGTGGGGCGGCTGGTGTGGTTTTGATGAGAATGGATGCGAATGAACCACCACTGATTATAAGTATGTTTTGTTGTGCAGCGACACGCCATCTATTTTGTGTTTTTTGTGATGTTTCATTGTTCGATGATCGTCGAAACCCCAAAACTACACTAGTAGTAGGGCAAAAAGCGACTTGTGCGCGGCTCGTTGCGTTTTCTGTTGTGCAACGCGTACATCGAAACTGACTGGGTCAGACTAACACCCGCCGAAGGCACATCGGCTCGCGCAACACCCAACCGACTGTCACTGCTCTCGACGAGCCTATGGGTAGGGAGTGACCAATGGCCACATGACCAATTTCGACACATTGCCGCCGCAACGAACCTGACGGCAAGGGCAAACTCAGGGTGCAAGAATTAACCTGTAACAATAGCCAGCATAGCAAAACAACTGGGCGATCGGGCGCGTCCTCGTGAAAGAAGCAGCCGTGTGGAGAACTAGAGGATGGGATAGCGGGGGGGGCTGCGGGGACATGCATCACAGATGTGGGCCCAGACGAGGGTGAGGGCACCGGACTCGACCGTGTCTACATATGAGCGTATGCGCCTTATTTGCTCGCGAAATATCGCCTGAATAGTTTCGGCGAAAATGGATTTATTCAAGGATATCGTTGAGCTGGCGTTCCACACCTTGTGTGTGTGACGCGCTCTGCATGATGAGAAGGAAATCGGGAGAATGTGTGTGTTTTTATTATTAGCATCGATCGCGCTAACCGGCTGACCAATTAAAATACGTCAGTGCCAGCGGGTAAAAATCAAGGTCCCTGAAAGGGGGCCAAAATTCGAAAAATGCGCAATGCGCTAGATACCAATGCCAATACGACTCTCCCTATATGTTCTTTCACGCAGACACACATCTCAGCTACACAAATGCCCTCGCTCGAACCTAGGAAGCCACTGATGCAAAGAGCGGAGGACAGCAAAAGGGTTAATTCGAGCCCAGCCGAAGCCAGGATATCGTGTTATACTACACCTCCCATTTTGATAATCGTACACTCCCAAGATCCAACAGTCATCGTGTCAGCAGCTAGATGACTCAAACATCATAGCAACACATACACTGCCATAGCTCTACGCATGCCCTCGCCCAAACCTAGGAAGCCACTGATGCAAAGAGCGGAGGACAGCAAAAGGGTCAATTCAAGCCCAGCCGAAGCTAGGATATCGTGGTATGCTGCATCTCCCAATTTGATAATCGTGCACTCCCAAGATCCAACAGTCATCGTGTCAGCAGCTAGATGACTCAAACATCATAGCAACACATACACTGCCATAGCTCTACGCATGCCCTCGCCCAAACCTAGGAAGCCACTGATGCAAAGAGCGGAGGACAGCAAAAGGGTCAATTCAAGCCCAGCCGAAGCCAGGATATCGTGGTGTACTGCATCTCCCAATTTGATAATCGTACACTATCAAGATCCAACAGTCATNGGACAGCAAAAGGGTCAATTCAAGCCCAGCCGAAGCCAGGATATCGTGGTGTACTGCATCTCCCAATTTGATAATCGTACACTATTTACGGTGGAACAAAGTAGTCAAGACCAAATTGGAATATAGTGTAACTTCGTCAATACGGAGTCCTCTATCACAAACTATAGCGCACATTGACGACAAAGCACAGAGCTGTCATTCTACACTAAAGAAAAAAATGCCCCATGTCTTCGAGTAACAATACGAAATTAGTGTGTGATCGTACCCGGCGATGTTCCAAAAAAATTGAAGTGCGGTGTTCAAACGATGCGGCCCCACGGCTTGCACCGGTGATCCATGTATTGGTTGAACGAGGGTGATACAGCCATCGCAATTGCGAAATATCAAACAATACGTTAGGTTGCACTCCGGATGGCACCTTCTGTGCAGCCCCCTTCGTGTCGCTGTTCGTGAATCAAAGTCGAAAAATATTGGCCCAAAAAAGGGATTTTGTTTTTTGCATTTTTTTCAATGGCATCTTCCGCGTCCTCATCCAGCCACTCATCCGTCTGCTCCTCCACCCCATCCTCTATGTCATCCTCGGCCACAGCCTCTTGGTACTCTGCCACTGGATACTCGAGGCTATCGATCGTACCGCTCAGGTTTCCACCATACAGGCCGATCCACTCATTCATCTTGCCAATGGCATGCTCCACCAACTTTCCACAATTGGCTGCCTTCCACCCCCCGTCCTGACCGTTCCATTCCGGGTCTCCATTCCAACCGAGACGGATTTGCTTCCAAACATCCAACATGTTCCGCCCCTTCTCAAAATGAATGCTCACGTAATGCTTACCGTGCTGTCAGAACAGCTCGATCGGCTGGAAAGTCGGCATGTACAGCGGTGTCCAAATTTACCCCCACCTTCACCCTCATGTACGTCTCAGCCTTTTCCTCGAGCTTTTGGGGGAAATTCTTTTTGAAGTACGTTCGAGTGACGGAGGCTATCTCTTCTTTGCTGACGCCGTTCTTGCGGTTCGCATTGGGTAACGACCCCTGCGCCGGCACCTCAAAGCTGTACTCAGCAGTCTTACCCTCCGACTCACGCGTCACCTTGAACGACGTGCAACCGTACTTACGCAAGAGTTCGACGTTGTACTTCTTACTGTTGGTTTCGGGCACCTTGAGCTCCTCGTCAAAGCAGTGGTGGAATGAGGCGTTATCGAGAACGAGAAACATCTTCTTGTTCTTGAACTGCGCATCGAAAGCCGGGGTAAGTCGGTGCTTCAACCACTGCATGAACGTCCCAAACGTCATGGCGTGATGATCATCTCCAGATGCCAACTTGGCCTGCCACAGAAATTCTGCTGTCTGCTCATCTGACATTTCGAAATCCGCCTCCCCAGGCTTAATCTTCTTCGCAAGATTTTCCTTAGCCTTGAACCAACCCTCACGGATAGGAAATCCCTCCTGTAGCTCGGCCAAGGGCCCGTGCTCCGTGATCGCATGCACCATGATCATACGCAAACCTTTCCCCGTTGTACGGCCTATCCCATCCTGCACAACCCCCTTATCGTCAGAAGGAAAGTACGAGTACGCGGAACCATGCGCCTGGTGAACAAAGCTCTCATCCATGTACACAATGACTGCGACCCCAGAGTCCTCGGCCCTCTTCGCGAGGTCCATCTTAACAAGAAAGAGGCGGATGCGGTTTTTCCTCTCGTTCAACGGAGGTATTTTGATCCTGCCCCTACGGCGCTTGAAACCAAGGCGCCGCAGCAACCTTCCCACGGCACGATTCGACATCTCTAATCCGTACGAACACTCCAAGTAATCCTTCACGGTACGGCGGAAGACCTGACGTCCGGCCTCGTGCTCGCCCTTGATGAACTCGTTCAGTCCATCCTCTTGCTCCTTGGTGATGACACGTCGCCCGTCGTCGACGCTGGTGGCCTTGCCTCGCCCCTTCCCGTTGGTCTCGTACAACTCCTGCTTGACATACCAGAGTGTGCGAACCGCCAGGACCTTGTCCGTACCGATCCTTAAGGTCTTCGCGACCTGATAAAGATGGGTCATCCACACAGAGGGAGGGTGGGAAAAAGTTTGTAAGAATACAGCAGTGTATTGCGTTGCAGTGTATTGCGTTGGTGTACGAAAGCCGGTGTTAAAGGGACGGCAGAGTGTAGACAACGTACAGCGCACGCGAGGANATACCAGAGTGTGCGAACCGCCAGGACCTTGTCCGTACCGATCCTCAAGGTCTTCGCGACCTGATAAAGATGGGTCATCCACACAGAGGGAGGGTGGGGAAAAGTTTGTAGAGGGAGGGTGGGAAAAAATTGTAAGAACACAGCGTGTAATGGGTTGCAGTGTATTGCGTTGGTGTACAACAGCCGGTATTAAGGGACGGCAGAGCGTGGATAACCGTAAGCGCACGCGAGGAGAATGGTGGTGCCATGCACATGCATACATTCCTTCACATTCAGCGGTACGTAGCGCTGCTGTAACTGCTGTACTGGTACACTGCTGTACATCTGGCAGCATACCGTTATGAATGCCACTCAAGTATTGTGCAGCAGTAATGGGCATCAGCACAGCAGTGCAAGCAATGTGACCATGGGCCGGCAGCAGTACTGGCATGATGCACAATATGTTGCGTAGGACCGTATCAAGCACTGCTGTTGCTTGTACAAAAATCATGGGTGGGAAGAATTATACGTAGACTACAATTGTACCAAAAAAGTTCGTGGCACTGGTGTACTGCACACGACATGCGTCTATATACTGGTACTATGTACGCAATAGCCATGTTTCTTGGTTCTCACCTGCTCCTTTGCGTGGTTCTCAGAGCTGCCTCCTTTCACCAGGTCGAAGTACAGCATGAGAATAATCCGCGACTGCTGCAGGGTGGTGAGCTCGCCAGTCTTGGGCCTCAGTGATTGCACAGAGTCCTCGACAAACTTCAGCGCGAGAGGGGGAAGCTTGGAAGTCGCCGCTTCAGCAGCCTTGCTGACACGATCCTGCTCTCGCCGTTCACGCTGCTGTTGAAGCACGTCTGACCTCGCGATGTCCCGCGCGAGCTTCTCCCGATCCCTGGCCACTGACGCCTTCATGGCCTTCACCTCTTCTTCCTTGGCCGCGAGAGCTGCTTCGGCAGCGGCTGTGGCCGCCTCTCTCTTCTCCATATCATCCAGGAGCTTGTTCATAGCCTTTGCATTTCTCGCGGACGCAGCGTTGGCCCCCTTGATCGCTTTAGGCGGACGGCCACTGGTGCTGCCTGTCGGTACCCGCCTACCACGCTTGGTCATGGTGGGTGCCGGATTGGCCAGGTGTCTGGCGTGGACGGCGAGTTGTTCTACAACGGCTGGCTCAAATTCAATTTTTTTTTGGCGTTGTACGCGCTATGTTGAGCAGATTGCGACAGGTTCTATTTCAGAACCTAATTTGTTTTCCCGAACCGCAACAAGTATGCCCGCTCGAAAATTGCTGCCATGAAGTGCCTGCTTTTAGCGCCGTTCACTTCGTGCTGTGACTGTTCGATGGGCATGAAACCAGCGTCATTCGACAGCTGATGTAACAGGATTTCTGTTGAACCCGCCTAGTGTGTCCATTGCTTACTTATTTCGTGCAAAAGTTGCAAAAGAGTGTGTGTTCTTCAATAAATTTTTCAGTACATATTACCAATTTTTCGAAGGGATCTTCACACGCTAAAATGGTTCTATTTGATAGCTGTTGATTGGACAGCAGTTTGCAGACACGTCACGGGAACTAGTTTTGTGGTCTCAGCGAGCGGCTGGGCTGAGGCTCCTGGAGTGTGTGCGACGCCGCTTGGTTGCGTGTTTCCTCGCACACGGTGGCGTTCGCCACACCTCACCCCACCCACGAAGGTTGTAGAAACACGCACCAGTCTAGCGAACCGTTCAGCCGATGGCTTCACCCCACGGAAGTGGAGGAGGAGCAGGAGGCAGTGGCCAGCCACCCTGCAGCACATCCAGCGGCAGTTCGCGGGATCATGCTGGTACTGCTGGACCCGACCTTGCACTCGGAGAGCAGGAGCGCCTTGTTTCTCACGCTACCAACGGTCTAGAGATCACGGGAGCCTTCCAGCGAGCACCAGCGCAGCGGGGTTCTGGCAGTACTTGGCATCAACCGGCGTGGAACTCCAGCTCGACCGCCGGCCCCGACAACGTTTCGCGCAATTTTCTGGCTGCCGGGGACAAGGGCGGGAGACAACAAATCCAGTCGAGCGCCCATGTTGCCGTCCCGACAGGTATCGGCGGCGTTACACCTCGAGCGGAACTCAGCAGCAGCAGCTGGCGTCGAGAGAAACTCAACAACCAGCCGCATCTGGCGAGGTCGCAGGGCACACTGATTCCTCCACGTCATCAACGGCCGTCATCACACATCGGCCTTGCCGCTGCTGTGACGGCATCTCAAGCACCAGGGGCGGTGGA